CTCGTTACTCGATTTGCGTTACCGCAACGCGATCTGGGCTATCGACCCTTCGCGATGTATCGCCAGTAGTAATCCATTCCGTCACCCTTATCGAACCCTCCCGCGTCCCCGTATCGGATGACAGCGGTTAAGGGCCGGGAATATTCGCGAATTATCGATCGCGTGCTGAGGTCGCGCGCGCGCGCCACCTCGTCATCGTCATCATCGGCCCCGTGAATTTCCGGTCCGAACCCACCGAGAATCCACCTTCGCGATCTCGTGTTCTCCAGTTTCGGGGAACGCGAATTATCGCACGCCATCGAGTGCGTCCTAGAAGAGAGAGAGAAAGAGAGAGAGAGAGAGATCCGGACGTGACCCCCCTCCCGATATTCTCTATTCCGAGTCCAACGACACCGCCAGCCAGCACCTACATGCTTCTGGCCGGTCCTTGACTTCTCTAGGTAAGTCGCCAGTCAAGACTTTTGCCACGCCGATACACCGAGGATAAAACAAGTAGTAGTAATAGTGCTGGGCCGCCGATCTCGGAGCGACTTTGTCGGGGCAATACACTCCATCGGATTGTTCGCGGTGTTTTTATTCTTATTTACATCCTTATTCCTCGCTGGAGACCTTCAGAGTCTGGCTGATGTGACATGCAACTTGTATTTCTGATACGACTGACACTTCGGTGTATTTAATAAAATAACGATAAGGCGTTACAATCTTTTCGTTGGAATTTGATTTTTTGTTATTTAATTAATTAATTAATTAATTGTTAATTAATCGCATTACTTAGCTTTTTATTTTTTTGATAGTGACTGCGTTTTATATTAATTTACGTTAATTTTATCACGAGGAAATAAAGACGGATTACAAATGGCGGATTGATCAGACACCGGTCTCTAAGTATTTCTGTATCTCGTTTGCTACAACTGATATCCTCCTTCGTATAATTTAGTTTGACTCCATTTACTATACGCGGCGATATTAAACGTCGATTTTAACAAGCTTTACTATTAGCTGCACTACATCACGATGACTCGCAAATTTATGATTATTTAATGCAACCACGAGCAAAATGCAGCGCGATGCTTGCGATGATCTCATTTAGTCGTTAATGACCTGGATAATGTTGGACGGTGGTAGGTAAATCTGGATACGCTCCGAACGTCTGTAATTGACGCGTAAATCAGAATCGTTTATTAGAGCATTATTGAAATTATTACCCAATCAATATCTAACCCACAAGTCCGAGAAAGATATATTTATATTTGAGATTGTTTGTTGTAATTAAAAGAATACACAATTTTCTAATACGTAAAAGATACTGAAAGATACAATAACAACTTGCGTAAAGATTTTCACGACAAATATTTATTCCAGCATATTGGAGCTAGAAAATTTCAACTATAAAACGAAACAAAGTCAATACACACACACCAATAAGGACGCACGACAAACGGTTCAATCTCCGGGATCAATTTTCGAGAAACTCCGCGATCCTCAGAAGCGGATCGAGAAACGCGAGCGACGATACGATATCTGGGCGATGTATCTCCTCGAACCAGTCTCGGCGACCTTAATACGCGTAGACGATGTCCTCGCGGTATCCTTGAATTGTTCCGACCGATACAACCGCGCGAGAGAATATCTCTGTTACACGGCGATCCACAGAGAGAGAATCCGTCTCTCTCTCTCTCTCTCTCTCTCTCTCTCTCTCTCTCTCTCCATCCTCGACGTCGAAAAGTTGAGCCGCGAGACACGCAAAGTCGGTCGCGCGTGCCATCCTTGGCCCGACTTTATCTCCGACTTTGACCCGAGCATGCCGCGTCGCGCACTCGCGAAATTACGTACGCACCTTTAATTGGCATAATCTCGAATAAGCGCGCGCCTTTCGCCGCTACCGGCGATACGAGGTAAATTAGTAGCCTGGTGTGTGCGTTCGCCGTTTCTGCGTTTACCGCGGAGGGAAACCGGCTGCCTGCGACTCGGAGTACTTAGCGAGCCGAAGGTCGAATTGAAGTAAATATAATATAACAGGATGATTGCGCAAATGAATTTAGCGAAGAATTTTTAGGGAGTGAGAGAAAGTAATCTCTAACTTGCGTTATTATCAAAGTGAGAAAACTTTATGCTGATAGAAATCGAACAAAAATCGGTTTAATTAAATAATACAAAAATAATACAAAAACCAGGAACATTAAATGGACATTCAATAAATCCCTGAAAGCCAGATAAGCCAGTGTGAGAGATCGAAGTGATAATTTTTTTTTTTATACTAACATGTCGACGATATTATTAGACGCGATTATTTAATTGACCGAACCAAATTATCATTATAAATAATTTTTGTTATCTTTTGTTCTTTTATCGAGATAATCGTTTGTTACATGAAGTCGAAAGGAGGATTATCACGCGTTCACGATAAGTGAATCGCGCTTCTCCGAAATATCTGTGATTGCTGCCAAGGGGCAATTGTTCCTTTCATTCTGCTTGACGATATATCCGGCGAGATCCGCAATGATTGCCGTAGAATCTTATTGAATGGTTAATAAATTTGACGACAGCGGTTCGGCACTTGCTTGCGTATCGATGTGCGCAAGCAGTATCGATTGTCGCGTGACGTCATTCGCAGAGACCGGCATTCGTCTTCAACTTTGGCCTTTCGGGCGCCCCGATATTCGATTCACGGCTTGTCTCTACACGTGTTGGCTTAACAAATGCGTTTTTAACGAAGCCAATTAAATCGAGGTGCCGTGAAGCATTAATGAATGAACTATGCGGTGGCGCCGATTTTCTTCACCAATTCGTTGAATCCGTTGAATTATTGTACGATCTATAGTCGAATGTTTCATATTTCACAGCAGATTCATCTTTAAAAGATTTAATAGAAAATCTATACTATTTTGTGAATTTACAAATATTTGTTATTATTATTATATTTTATTTAATTAATTTTATTTAATTAAGTTTTTTGTATTACTATTTATATTAGCACGATATTATTTGTAAGTAACTATCAGTAAGTAATAAGGAAAAATATTGATGCATTCGGTAGAACTCTTAAATGTCGTTACGCCTGTAGCTTTAAATCCGTCACCGGTTATAGTTCGTTAACAGCTTCGACATTAACAGCGCGAGTAAGTTTAACCGCGTGACATCATCAGAATCTTTATCTTCGACTGCACGCAAGTCTCTGGTAAGGAGATTCGAGAAAGTCGTTTGTTGTTTTGCTCGGTTCATGCATTTGCGAAACTTTGGTTTTCTGCTTACGTGTCCCGCGGAAGCTGCGGTGTTCAATGATGTCTGACTGATATAATTGTGCAACAAAGTTGGAAAGTTGAACGCGAACGTTATCAGCGATCGCGTTGCACGTGACGTGTAAAGTAACGCATAAATATGCGTTGAAAAACGCACTATAATTAGAATTGTAAACATACTTTTAATTTAATGGTACACACAATGGTTGGAATAAAAAGTTTATTTCCGAGATATTTTAAAAGTTTCGCGCATCCAGTTTTATTAATCCAATTGCTTTGTATATTGTTATATCTATAAATATATCTTATTGTCGTATTGAAATAAATATGGAAAAAAATGCACGCTGCTAAAAGTAATCACAATGATCGTAATAACCACGCTAATAGACTGTACAGAAGCTTTATCTTTGATCTTTATCTTTATTTTCTTCAATTGATATCTTCTAAGAATTTACGTCACAAGTCGGAAAGTTGAATGTGGTAGAAGCACAGAGTAAGAAATTATTGACTGATAAAAAATTGTCATTAATAATCGATCAAATTCCTATTTTTGATCAATGAAAAAATTAAAAAGAAGTTTGAATTAATTATCTCGGATGCAATCTTTTAACAACGGTAGCAACGATAACAAAACAAATCTTTATCAATCATGCAGTGGTTAACCATACATGTGGTCGATGTTTACAATTACATTGTCATGCAACGCTACTAGCAGGAAATTGTGGCAAAAAAAATATCACGTTCACTTTGTCCATCGCGTGACCCCATCCGTTCGGCGCGGCTCCAATCAGATCGTCGCGAATACGCTCGGATGCTGCACCCATCTCCTCTCGATGCGTGTATGCGTGCGAGCGAGACGCGTTTAACCTACATAAGGTCGTGATTGGACAAAGTAAATGGCGAACGATCTTTCAGATAATCGATGATACGCAACACGAGGATCGCGGAATATTGTCGGTTCCTCTCACGCGGAGAAAGCCGGTTTCCTTCGTTCGCTCATTGAAGGAAAAAAAAAAAAAAGAATGAAAGAAGAAACGCGATCCGTGTTCGTGCACGATCCGTGTTCGTGCACGTTTTGCGCTGCTTCGAAAGTTTAATTATTATTATTATTATCTTTTTTTTTTTCATTAAAATAGGCGATACGCAAAATCGCGACGCAGAACGAATGTTGAAAAACGCGTAAAGCGATGCCAAGAGATAAATCTGAACGAACAAAAGGATTAGAGGGAATTAACGTGACTTATTCGCGCTCCCACGATTATCAACTATGAAGTATATCGTTTTGATATTATTCAATCAACGCTGTGATTCACGATACTCTTCTATAATGCCTTCAGCATATTTAAAACTGTAAAAAATTTATCGCATGCATAATTAATTTACAAATCTAAAATTGCGGAAATTATATCGTATTTTCTCTACGTATCCGAAATCATTTTGATTGATAATATATATATATATATAGAAATCGAATGATTATATAAATATTCCGAGAAAAAATAATCTATTTTAAATCGATATTTATTTTGCTCTATAATAATAAAATTTATATAAAAACACACACAGACACAAAGTTATATACACATATAATAACTGCAATCTCTTAAATATAATCTAGATTTCTTATTATAGACTAATAAAAAAATATTTTGTATAACGTAGATAAAACGTGATTGTACAGCAGTTTGAAAGACGATATTGAAAATTAGCAGTGAAGGACGATCAGTTAGGAAAGTGCACACCTTGCTCTTTTGTTCACAGGGTATTATCAGCCGGCTGGTCCACTGATACAGCACCCACCTCCACCACCACCGACCTTACCGCCCGTTAAGGGTCCACCTCCAGAACCAACGCCCACGCCTCCACAAAATTCAGAGGGTTCGGATGATCTGGTCGCCACTTCCACGACTTCTGGAGGCACAAGCAGTACAGGTATGTTACTAATAATTAATACACGATAAAGTACACAATATTAATAATAATTGAAGACATCGTTGAGAAAAAGAAAATTGTCTTTTTTTATTATTATACTTTTCAACTTTTTATAGAAAAAAAAATTATATATATGGGAAAGTAGGGTAAAACCGGGTAGGCGGGTCAAACCGGGGTACCTCTGTTTCTTCGTGATAAGTGTTACTATCTTTGGCTAAATCGTATTATTAGTTACAGATTGATGCCATCATTATTTTGAGATGAAGCGTGCACACGATATTTTTTTTTTTTTGAAAGAAGTTCAAAATTTTCGGGCCAAAAAAGATCGATATCAGTGCAATAATCGAGTAGTTATACCTTTTATATAAAAGATTATCGCCTTTTTTTACACAGAGCATCTGCTTCGGTAAATGCAGCATTGCATTCTGTACATATTAGAAAGTATATCGCATTAGTTTTGATCGTCACTTTGTACGCCGGAATATACAACCGCCGTGTTTATTATTTTCTTCGTGTTAGGGCAAAAACGGGTACCTGCACATTTCATGTAATGAAAAGAGAAAAAACCATTATCCTGACTTTGTCTCCCTACAAAAAGCAGTTGGAAATGAAAACTCCTCAGAAAAAAAAACCACTAAAAAAAAGCTTTTTGAAACCCCTACAGTTAAAAAATTAAAATAAGAAAGTCCTGCAGCAATGTAGAACAAGAGGATATCTTTATTTGTAATTTTTGTCAATAGAATACATCTTTGTATTTTGATTAAAATAAATCTAGATTTTGTAATTGCATGGTGTTTTACATGTTTTCAAATGGGTACCTGGTTTTGCCCTACCGGTAGTGCAAAACCGTGTATTTTCTCCAAAAAATCTTGTTATCCTTGGTAACCAAGTATTTTTTTTCAGCTAGCCTAATTTTTTCATAGTTTAAAGTCCACTAAAGACTACTAACGATCAGCAAAAATTTTTTTTACTCTAATTTTTTGTAGAAAGACAAATCCAAAAAATTACCCGGTTTTACTCTACTTTCCCCTAATATTGAAATTTTTTAATTCACATACAAATATTTTTGCATTAACATTTTTTCATCAAGTTTTTTCTTTTAATTCCTTGCTTTTAGTTACTATTTTCTGTTATTATTTTAATCAAGATTAGTTTAATTTTTTAATTTTTAACTTGATAACGAGAAGCTAAAAGTGTATTTTCTGTCAAGATGAAATAAATTTTCAATTTTGCTTAGTACTTATTTTCTGCAAAAATCTGTCTTTGATGTTGAGAAGAATATTAATCACTTCTCAAAGTAAACTATTGCTGTAACAATGCTGCAAATTATTCGAGCTACATCGCATGACTCGCGTGCATCTTAAGATAATCTCTACCTTTCACATATCAGATAGATTTCACTAATTCGGTTCGTCAGGCAGATTTGCCGCTCAGGCAAATGTGTCTCACTGGGGGAATGTGTCAGATCTCGCATTTGCATTAACGATTTTATCGTGTAACGTTCAACATAGCGCGATTATCTAATGCTGGAAATGCATTAACGGGTGCGCGCACAGATGCATATTAAGCTTGCAACGCATAAAAGTGGTGCGTGATGGCAAACGTGCAGCTTAACCATTTTATTTCTCCTCTTTTTATATTTTAATTTCTTTTTTATTCGCGTCTCGCGTTACGTCAACAATTTTTGGGTTTCCTCTTTACGTGAACTTTTTACTCAAAAACGCGAGTCACATTGCTAAAATTTATGAAAAGTTTCCTGGCAATGGGATTACACTTGATTTTAATGAAAGATTTTTTTTTCTGCATTTCGGCAAAGAATCGTAAATGTGCTGTAAAAGCTGCACGCTTGCATCAGAATGCAAAAAGCGAAGCGCATTAGCCATTTTTAAATCGGACAAGAACGGTGCGTCGGTTCAAGATTAAAACCGAGCGGGAGCATATTTTTCTGCGTTTTTTGTGCGCGTAAATAGTATGTTGCGCTACGATATTATAGACATTAGCGTATAATAAGCGACTCTAAAATTATGGAGCGCATTGATGTGAGTGCGGGACTAATAGAGCGAGCACTTACGAATTAATTGGATGGAGATATCAGTATCTTCGATAATATAGCGCTCGCTATCTTCGAAACGCTATATCAAGATAGGAAATATAGCACGTTCATAGACATTGTCTTTATATATTAATGCTACGGCCAATGAGAAAGATATGTAGGTCTTTAGGGGAAGAATTCTCTGAATCATTGAATATAATGTATTAAAACAATTTTAGCCACATGTATTTTATTAAGTAGAAATCAACGTGGTTACTTGCTTGAGCTTATCATTTTTTAACATTACTTGCATTTAAATTTTCTGCGATATTTAAATCTGTTTTAAACAATCTATATTTCGCGACAAAATTCAAGACAGAATTATATTTATAATTTGAAGAAATAGAACACATACATATTTGAAATACACATCAGAATACACACATATACATGAGAATATATGTGACACATAAAATTATAAATAGAATTTTGTTTTAAATTTTATTACGAATTATAGATCGTCTAGAGCGGGCTTTAAACTTTAATTGTACGAAGAGGATATTCTCTCTTGGTGAATAATAATATCGTCCTTTAATAGGCTCTTAAAGTGATGCGTGTAATTATCGAACGAATAGCCGAAGTTTACTTACCGCGGACGACTATCTTGTGATTGTACGTAACACATGCAAGAATGAATGAACAATCGTTTGTTACAGGTGGCGGCTTTTATAGGACGTATTGCCCGCAGTACTACGGCACGCCGCCGCAATATCCGGATCTGTGTTATCCGCCGACGTATTCTCATCCTCACCCTCATCCGCCGCATTACTACAAATACCCGCCCACCTACAGAAGGTAAGAGATTTATTTGTGTTCGACGCCTTGCATGATGACACGGATAACAAGAGGCGAGAGATAGAGCGGCTTCGTACGGAACGGAGCACGCGTTGTTCCGTTCCGTAACGTTGTCGAAAATTGTTGTTCGCTACCAAATGACAATCCAATTTTGAAAATTTCAGCTATTACATTACGTAATCGTTATTAACGTTCATTGTTACGTCATGATACGAAAAGTGGACAGTAGCTATATTCTGTTATTGTTATAATGTTATCAGGTGCGTCATTGTGTTATGCTTTCTTTCCCCGATGATAACTCGCTTCTTGGAATCCATTGATAAATGTTTATAACGCGATCTAGATATATTGATTATCAAACAGTAGTCGTGTAATAAACTAAGCACCATTGTGTATCTTGCCTTGAACATCATCGTTTCGCGAAAACTGTTTCGTCCACGCTTATGATTAATCGCACTTGTTTCTTATTAATTTTGACGAAAGAGAAAATAGGCATGATTAAAAAACGGACATAGTTCGTATAAAATCTTAATTTTTCAATACATTTGTTTTAAAATTATTATGAAATAAAATATCTTATCTTAATCAATCGTCTTACTGGAAACGTGTATAAAGGAACTACAATTTGGTAATTGTTATCTCGATGATATTATCTTTTTCGATGTCGTCGTAATGCTCAGTAATCTCGATAACAAATGGGTCTGCGACAAAGCGTATCCTGTCACATTGCAATGCATTTAGGTCACAGATGGTGCTAACTTTCTGAAACCATCGTTATCTTGTTTTCGATGAAGAAGTGAAAGTTGCAACTAGAGCGTGGCAAACTGTGGTTTTTGTCGCAACATCACAGAATTTTAGATAACCGATCCGCAATAATTTCTCAATTATTCGATATTGCCATAAAAAAATTATTTCTTTTTTTTTCTTTTTTATGATTAAATGACAAATTAAAGATATATCAAGTTTTATAAATTATCCGAAGAATGTAAGCGCATTATTCGGCTTTTATATAATCTATCTGCTAAAAAAAATATGTATATATATTTGATCTTTCTCAATTTTTATAAATCCGATAATATTAATGCCCCGATGTTACCGTTAAGGAAAAAAATTCTTAAATTGTCAAAGAATTTGTCGGTCAGAGAAACTATGCGGGTGACCTGAATCATTCTTTTGACGATGTGAATTTAGATTCTTGCCACGGTTGCAAGCGATTTCTGGTAAGGTATTTGTGGTAAGATTGTTTCTGGTAAGATGTTCCTTTTCTGGCGACTTCTTCCTCGTCGTCTTCTCGTACACACAATAAGAACGGTGGCCGATAAGAGCGGCCGGATGTCCGACGCGCGGGGACACTCGTATATATATATATTCGTCCTTCGATTGTCGGCGTACATTCCGTAAAGAGGGTATCTTTTCAGGCAATACTATGGTTATCAAGAGTCCGGCGGGGGAGGCGGACCGCCGCCGGGCAGCGGAGCCGCCGGGGGTGGCCCCGGAGTCGTTGATTATCAGCCACCCCCGCCACCGCCCGCAATAAGAACGGTGGCCGATAAGAGCGGCCGGATGTCCGACGCGCGGGGACAGTCGTATATATATATTCGTCCTTCGATTGTCGGCGTACATTCCGTAAAGAGGGTATCTTTTCAGGCAATACTATGGTTATCAAGAGTCCGGCGGGGGAGGCGGACCGCCGCCGGGCAGCGGAGCCGCCGGGGGTGGCCCCGGAGTCGTTGATTATCAGCCACCCCCGCCACCGCCCGGCGAATATCCGCTGCCACCCTATTACGGGGGCTACCCTCCGCCCCCCCATCCGCCGCCACCTCCGAATCCGGCATATCTGCATTCTCAGGGAAGACCTTTCGTAGACCGTAAGTATCATTTGCTGCGTATGATCTTGCACTGCGAAGAAAATTTAAACCTTCTACCTCACTTTTTTCTCTCTTTCTCCCTCGTTCTTTTATCGAGATTTTTCTGGAATTTATTTAATACGGAAGGAAACTGCTGACAAATCTCTGATACATATTAAAGAAGTGACTTTCTTTTTTTTTTTTTTAAATAATTTAAAAGAATATAAGCAAGTATATATAATTCAACAATAATTCTAATGTAAAAATAATTATTTGTTACGTCTATCTCTTTCTTCAAAATATCCGTGTTTTTGTCCCAGAAGAATATTTATTATTTATATCAGCTCGTTGTAAGTAACTTTATCATTGTAAGATTAAAAGCCCTGATAATAGGCTGTTATTATGTGCGTCCAGTCGCTGTATGATGTTTAATCGCTGTGTGGATGATTAAATTATTTACCTGATAAGGAACTTTCGAAATTCTATCCAAGAAAAATTTTTCTATGACACTCAAACTTTCTAGGTTTCTCACTAGATATTCAATCTAAATTAATTCTTAGCTTTTTTCTAGATATATTTTTATCTGATTTTTCAATGCCAATTATTTAATGTTTAAATATAATACTTGTCATTTTTAACAAACTTCCTTTTCTTCCTCTACGTTAATGCTTTATCCGCCTCATTTATAATATATATATTTAGAAATTTGAAAGTGTGTGTGTGTGTGTGTGTGTTTATAAATTTCTAAAGTTTTCCTGCATGTATATCTCTTGGTGCACCATGATTTTAGAATCATATTTGTACAGATCGAAATTTCGATATTCTCAAAATTATTCTAGATATTTGCGCGCGCATAGTTCTTTCTTACTACATAACTAGACAATACAGTTTGGACAAAGCATACAGAAAAAGTTCGAGGTTTAACTATAACCGTTAGAGGGCCAAGAAAGGACGGAAAGAATAGGAATCGACCTTTTCAGTTTGTGTGCATCAATGTTCGAAAGCGCAACTGCTTTCATGTGTTGTTCTGCGTGATCGAGAGTTATCTCCCGTTTTTTCTCAATTATGAATCTAACGAGAAAAAGAAGAAAAATTCGAGAAATCGCGGTTTTGTCCGATCGTCGTGCTCTTTGCCCTGTCGAGGAACAAACGGTTAATAATGTTCGCTGTAAGTCGAAAATATCTTCATTCGAGTGTTTCTCACTGGACGACATTTTGTTTATTCTTTAGTTACTTGACATCGGAAGTACGCTAAATTAAATTATGTAGTTTATTTTCTATTTATTTATTTCATTCCGCGTAAATATCATTCCGATGGTTTATATAAGCAACCCTCGTGTTCAGTAATAGTTCATGTACCAAAAAAATTTTTTTTTTGAATATTGTAAAATGTCCGTTAAATTTGCTCTGAGATGTTCCGATACTTTAAGATAATTTTCGTTCATATTTAATATAACGTTTGTAATATAAGTCGGGTATTGTTATTTTTTCAGCAATTTTTTACAACAATTATTATTATTAAAAATTATTATTAAAAGTGAACAATGAAAATATTTTCGGAATAATTTTATAAAAGAAGGATTTTTCTTCGAAGGAGAGGGCGTTAATTCAGTTGAATGATGATAATTTAAATAAATTTCGCGTTTAATTTTTTATTCGGCTTAATTATCCCGGATCCGCCATGCGTTTCCTCGAACTGATGGAAACGATACTGCGTTATTCACTCGACTCTTTTGTACCGTAGCATTTCAGGGTTGTCCATGCCCGATGCAATCGTGTCCAAAAAACGTGGATACTGGGGCCCTTATTGGTAATGGTAAGGGAGCGCCAGTGGTATCGGGGCCCGGTCTGTCATTGCCACCCAGTGCTTTGGTAGGTCCGCCCTCGCCAGCGAGGGGGCTAGCTGGGCTAGCTCCTCCTCATGGTGCCAATGCCTGGGATGCGGATCGGGTCCAAATCAACACTCATCGCAACCTAAATCAGAACCAACCCCCCTCAGTCCCGCCGTCGCACAATCTAGTCGGTGGGCATAGTCGCCTTCAGAATCAAGACTGTAGGAGTAAGGTATGTTGTAGTATCTTTGGACTTTACCATAGATATATAGACTGGATTGAGCATTGTGAGATAGACAAACGTGCGCTTGCTGTAGAAAAAGAGGTACTATATGGGAGGCCTATTTTGTCTCTTTTCCTAGCATATCATTGGTGATTTTATCCCCCTCCATATAGAAAATCACCAATGAGATGCTTGGAAAAGAGATAATCATAGGCCTCCCATATAGTACCTCACTCTCTACAGCGAGCACGTGTTTGTTTATCGCAACGCTCAGTCCATTCTATATGTCTATGGACTTTACATAAGATCGCGATCAGTCATCTTCGATTGATTTCGATTGATTTTCGATTGATTTCGAGGTAGGATATATGTATAAATGAAAAAATACCGTTGACCATTTTAAGATATAGACGGAAATTATATCTGATGACGATATCTCTTTGTGCACAGAATAAATATCTTTGTAAGCAATTTTAATTTTTGATATTAATGTCCTAATAAACCACGCTGCAAATTAAAAATTTTTTAAAACTTATTTGAAATCAAGCAAAAATATATCTTTATTGCTTTCGAAATTTTACAATTCTGTAATCTGTTTTATTAAATAATTCCTTAATTAATGGAATTTTAGCAAAAGAAAAAAAATCATCTTGGAAGGGATCGAAAATAGCGTGACGGGTTTTCAAATTTCACGCTTTGTAACGTTATCTTTTCAGAACAAATTTATCGGATGTATTGATTTATACCGAAAGAAAATTATCTTTTTTTTTTATGTTGCGAGATATTGTCATATTATAACGGCTAAACATTTAATAGAATTAACACAATCGAATGAAAGTGATTTTCGCAAATTTTTCTCGACAACTCGCGGATTTATTACATGCGATAACGATAGAGTTACGTGGAAATCGGCAAATTTGCTTTTTGCCACCCCTGTAGGATGAGAAAAATTGTACAGAAGATACGCTGAGGAAATGCGGTTGTCAGAACGCGTGCACGTCCACCTGCGAAGTCAAAATGGAAACACTGTCGCCAACCGAGAAGCTTTCGGTGGCGGCGAATTGTCCCAGCAGCAAGTATAACAATTTTAAGCTGGAGAACAACAATGTGAAATGCGAATCCTGCAGCATGGAGATCGCCGACGGGCTGCCATGCGTCGCCAATTGCAATGTCGTTAAATGCGAGTCGGATTACAAATGCGACATCATGAAGTGCGAGCAGTGCATGAAGGAGGGCCAGATAGCGATATTAGAAATGGACAAGGATTCCGGCATCGTGCTGGACGACAAGCTCGACAGTGATCCTGATGTGAAGGAGGAGCTAGATGTAGTGGTGATTGACGGTGACGAGAATTGGAAGAAGCCCGATTACGAACCGACTGTGCAAGAGACCGTCGACGATAAGGAAGTTGAAGAGGAGGAGGAAAAGGAGCAGGAAATCACGCAGGAACCGGTCGCGGCCGAGATCGAGGCTGAGGAGCAGCTTAAGTGCCAAAAGGTGACGAAGAGGAAACTTTCGCTGGACAGCTTATCGGACAGCAGGAAAAAGAGGAAACTGAGCAAGAGGGCTTTGTCGGTTGGCTCGTCTCAGGATTCGAGCAACGAGCGATTACCCAATGTCATCGCGCCGATCGAGCCGTTGTCGAATAAAACCGACAGCGTCAAAGCCGAGACGAATGTTCCGAAGAAGAAGCAAGTGAAAAAAGACACAGGACCTCGTGGTCAAAAACGCAAAGCAGAGACGCCAAGCGTGAACGAGAATGCGACGAAGAAAGCGAAGAGCGGCAAACAGAGCGCGGGTAATAGCGTCATGAATTGTTTGAAGCGGACTGCCAGTGATATCTCGATAATGGAGACTATCGACGATGTGATACAACAGAGTCTGCAGATGACGCAGAGAAAGGATCAGAAAAGTAAGAACTGCGAACGCGTGGAGAAGAAGAAGAAGAACGTCAAAGAGGAATCATTATTGACGGTGAAGAGGATCGCGAAGAAGATCGATCAAGTGAAACAGCAGTTTATCGAGAAGATGTCGAAAGCAATCTCGAAAAGTGGTCAATCCAAAAGTAAAGCGGACGCGAAACCGAAATCTAAGGCTTTGCAGGACGCTAAGTTCAAGGGCAAGAGCAAGGTTGCTAAAACCTTCGCGGAGACGAAGGTCCAGGACGCGAAATCTAAGGCGACGCAAGACTCGAAAGCGAAAGACGGTTCGAAAAAGCGCGATATCGCGTTCAAGATCAAAGCGAACGATGTCAGCGAAGATTTGAAGAAGCCTGCGATAATTAAGAAGAAACGGAAGA